TGCCCTGCCCTGCCTACTACCTAGGAACTGCCTGTCTGCCTGCCTGCCTGGGTAGCTACACCTGCCCTGCCCTGCCTACCTGGGGAACTGTCTGTCTGCCTGCCTGTCTGCCTGCTAAAAGCCGCAAATCTCTGGATCGACTGGCTGACACGACCTCGTGAAGCTGCCTGGACTAGTGGCTGTTTGCTTTGCTGATTGCACCACCACCGCTCCTACTGACCACCTCTCTCACATTCGCGTGTTCGACTCAAGGTAAGAGGCGGGCTGCGTTGAGGGGGTCGCGTTCGTCCGTCTGTCTGCCTTAGATTCCGCTTTTGATTTTCGACAGCTGCTGCTGATGATGATGATGATGCTGGTGATGCTGCTACTGCTGATGATGCTGATGCTGCTACTGATGATGCTACTGATGCTGATGCTACTGATGCTACTGATGATGCTGCGACTGTTGCTGCTGATGATGTCTGTGGCTAAAGTGCTGACTGTTGGTTGTGGATGACTGTGTGTGTGTGTGCGTGTGTGTGTGTCTCTCTCCTGCTGTAGATGCGTGTGTGAGTACACGTGTGAGTGTGTGTGTGAGAGTGAGTGTGAGCGTGTGAGTGTGTGTGTGTGAGTGTGTGTGAGTACACGTGTGAGTGTGTGAGTGTGTGTACACGTGTGAGTGTGTGAGTGTGTGTGAGTACACGTGTGAGTGTGAGTAGACGTGTGAGTGTGAGAGTGTGTGAATATGTGAGTGTATGAGTGTGTGAGTAAGCGTGTGAGTATGTGAGTGAGTGTGAGTACACGTGTGAGAGTGTGAGTGTATGAGTGTGTGTGTGTAAGTGGGTGAGTACACGTGTGAGTGTGTGAGTGTGTAAGTACACGTGTGTGAGTGTGTGTGAGAGTGTGAGTACACGTGTGTGAGTGTGTGAGTACACGTGTGAGTGTGTGAGTCTGTGAGTGTGAGAGTGTGTGAGTACACGTGTGAGAGTGTGTGAGTGTGTGTGAGTGTGTGAGTACATGTGTGTGTGAGTGTGTGAGTGTGTGTGAGTGTGTGAGTACACGTGTGAGTGTGTGTGAGTACACGTGTGAGTGTGTGTGTGAGTGTGTTAGTACACGTGTGTGAGTGTGTGAGTACACGTGTGTGAGTGTGTGTGTGAGTGTGTGAGTGTGTGATGTGTGTGAGTGTGTGAGTACACGTGTGTGAGTGTGTGAGTGTGTGTGTACATGTGTGAGTGTGTGAGTACACGTGTGAGTGTGTGTGTACACGTGTGAGTGTGTGTGTGAGTGTGTGAGTGTGTGTGTGAGTGTGTGAGTGTGTGTGTGAGTGAGTTAGTACACTGTGTAAGTGTGTGAGTACACGTGTGTGAGTGTGTGAATGTGTGTGTGAGTGTGTTAGTACACGTGTGTGAGTGTGTGAGTACACGTGTGTGAGTGTGTGAGTGTGTGTGTGAGTGTGTGAGTACACGTGTGTGAGTGTGTGTGTGAGTGTGTGAGTACACGTGTGTGAGTGTGTGTGTGAGTGTGTTAGTACACGTGTATGAGTGTGTGTGTGAGTGTGTGAGTGTGTGTGTGAGTACACGTGTGAGTGTGTGAGTGAGTGTGTGAGTGTGTGTGTGAGTACACGTGTGAGTGTGTGAGTGTGTGAGTACACGTGTGTGAGTGTGTGTGTGAGTGTGTGAGTACACGTGTGTGAGTGTGTGTGTGAGTGTGTGAGTGTGTGTGTGAGTACACGTGTGTGAGTGAGTGTGTGTGAGTGAGTGTGTGAGTGTGTGAGTACACGTGTGTGAGTGTGTGAGTGTGTGTGTGAGTACACGTGTGTGAGTGAGTGTGTGTGAGTGAGTGTGTGAGTGTGTGTGTGAGTACACGTGTGAGTGTGTGTGTGTGAGTGTGTGAGTGTGTGTGTGAGTACACGTGTGAGTGTGTGAGTGTGTGAGTGTGTGTGTGAGTACACGTGTGTGAGTGTGTGAGTACATGTGTGAGTGTGTGAGTGTGTGTGTGAGTGTGTGAGTGTGTGTGTGAGTGTGTGAGTGTGTGAGTGTGTGTGTGAGTGTGTTAGTACACGTGTGTGAGTGTGTGAGTACACGTGTGTGAGTGTGTGTGTGAGTGTGTGTGTGAGTGTGTGAGTACACGTGTGTGAGTGTGTGTGTGAGTGTGTTAGTACACGTGTATGAGTGTGTGTGTGAGTGTGTGAGTGTGTGTGTGAGTACACGTGTGAGTGTGTGAGTGAGTGTGTGAGTGTGTGTGTGAGTACACGTGTGAGTGTGTGAGTGTGTGAGTACACGTGTGTGAGTGTGTGAGTGTGTGTGTGAGTGTGTGAGTACACGTGTGTGAGTGTGTGTGTGAGTGTGTGAGTGTGTGTGTGAGTACACGTGTGTGAGTGTGTGAGTGTGTGTGTGAGTACACGTGTGTGAGTGAGTGTGTGAGTGTGTGTGTGAGTACACGTGTGAGTGTGTGAGTGTGTGTGTGAGTGTGTGAGTGTGTGTGTGAGTACACGTGTGAGTGTGTGAGTGTGTGTGTGAGTGTGTGAGTGTGTGTGTGAGTACACGTGTGTGAGTGTGTGAGTACATGTGTGAGTGTGTGAGCGTGTGAGTACACGTGTGAGTGTGTGAGTACACGTGTGTGTGTGTGTGTGAGTGTGTGTGAGTACACGTGTGAATGAGTGAGTACACGTGTGTGAGTTTGTGTGTGAGTGTGTGTGTGAGTGTGTGTGAGCGAGTGAGTGTGTGAGTGTGTGAGTGTGTGTGAGTACACGTGTGTGAGTGTGTGTGAGTGTGTGTGAGTACACGTGTGAATGAGTGAGTACACGTGTGTGAGTGTGTGTGTGAGTGTGTGTGAGCGAGTGAGTGTGTGAGTACACGTGTGAGTGTGTGAGTACACGTGTGTGAGTGTGTGTGTGAGTGTGTGTGAGTGTGTGTGAGTGTGTGTGTGAGTACGCGTGTGAGTGTGTGAGTACACGTGTGTGAGTGTGTGTGTGAGTGTGTTTGTAAGTGTGTGTGAGTGTGTGTGTGAGTGTGTGAGTGTGTGTGTGAGAGTGTGTGAGTGTGTGTGAGAGTGTGTGAGTCTGTGTGAGTACGCGTGTGAGTACACGTGTGAGTGTGTGAGCACCTATTAAGGCTTGCACGATGCAACAGGAGACGGGGGGGGTGTGGGTAGCCGACGACGTCACGTCCCAGCCGTCTTTGTCTCCCGCCCGGTGCCACTCGTTTTACGGCTGAGTGGACCTAGGGGTGGTCCACTAGCCAGGTTATTGGTCGTATGCGGGAATCGAACTCGGCTGGCCGAGGTTGGTAGGGCAATTCGCTGCCCGCTACACCACATCGCACCCACCCCCCACACACACAAAACACAAAAACATGTTTTGGGGGAGCCAACACCACGCCCGGCCGCCTTTGTCTCTCCCAAGTGCTGCTTGACACATCCCCTCCAGGCTGAGTCGACCTAGGTGAGAGCCAGGAGCGATTACAAATGCTCCCCCCCACCCACCCCCCACTGATGATTTGCTCGTGAGCGCGGTGGCAATCGAACTCGGAATTGTCCCGAAGGGATTCGTAGCGGCGTGCTGCTAACCACTGCACCACCACCAGCTCCAACACCACCACCACCACCACCAGTACCACCACCAGCACCAGCACCACCACCACCAGCAGCACCACCACCACCACGACCACCACCACCACCAGCACCACCAGCACCACCACCACCAGCACCACCACCAGCACCACGACCACCAGCACCAGCACCACCAGCACCACCACCACCAGCACCACGACCACCACCACCACCACCAGCACCACGACCACCACCACCACGACCACCACCACGACCACCACCACCAGACACCACGACCACCACCACCACCACCACGCCGCTACCACCACCACCACCACCCCCACCACCACCACCATCACCAGACACCACCACCCCCACCACCACCAGACACCACCAGCACCACCACCACCACCCCCACCACCACCACCAGCACCAGACACCACGACCACCACCACCACCACAACCACCACCACCACCAGACACCACGACCACCACCACCACGACCACCACCACCACCACCACCACCACGACCACCACCACCACCACCAGACACCACGACCACCACCACGACCACCACCACCACCACCACCAGATACCACCACCACCACGACCACCACCAGCACCACCACCACCACGACCACCACCACCACCACGCTTCCGTCACACACACACACACATGTATGTATGGGTGGGACACCGTGCGTCGTCAAACAAATAAAACATCACAACAATAACAACAATAACAACAACAACAAAAACACCGCAGCCTTGAACTTGACTACAGAGGGTTTTCCACAGTGCACAGCGCTCTGTGGACGAAATGCGCGTGTGCTTTTGTTTAATATTCAGCGTCACGGTTAACACGCTGTGCGAGGTTACGTGGGTGACCTGTGTGTGTGTGTCCGTGTGTCTGTCCGTGTGTCTGTCCGTGTGTGTGTCCGTGTGTGTGTGGGGAGCGGTGGCGCAGCGGTTAGCGCGCCACCGCGCTACGAACCTGGCAACCCGGGTTCGATTCCCGCTCACGGCAAACACCCAGTGACGATTATCTGAACCGGTCCTGGGCCTCCCGTAGGTAGACTCAGCCTCAAATGAGTACCTGGTGCGGTGTGTAAACATCGCCGCTAGGGAGACAAAGGCGGTCGGGCGTGGTGCTGGCCACCCACCCCCTCGTGTGCCGTGCCGGCCTTTATAGGCGCTCGGTAACAGCACTTGCCCCTACAGTCTGTTAAGGCTATACGGGGGATCTTTGTCCTTGTGTTCGTGTGTCCGTGTGTGTGTGGAGAGCGGTGGCGCAGCGGTTAGCGCTACGCTGCGCTACGAACCCGGCGAGCCGAGTTCGATACCCGCTCACGGCCACCAACGCCGCCAGTGACGATTATCTGAACCGGTCCTGGGCCTCCCCTAGGTCGACTCAGCCTCAAATGAGTACCTGGTGCGGTATGTAAACATCGCCACTGGGGGAGACAAAGGCGGCCGGGCGTGGTGCTGGCCACCCACCCCCTCGTGTGCCGTGCCGGCCTTCATAGGTGCTCGCTAACAGCATTTGCCCCTCCACTCTGTTAAGGCTACACGGGGGATCTTTGTCTTTGTGTGTGTCGATGCTGATACCGACCATACCACCCATCCTCGCGTGCATTAATAGGTGCTCGCTAACACATCACTTGCTCACACCTGCCTGTGCGCGTCTTGTTTACATGCCCAGAAGAAGAGCCATTGCCCGAAAC